AATGCCTCTCTGGAGAGCAGGAGAAGACAACAGCCATAGGGAGCCTGTGGGGTCAGCGGGGGCACCTCCTGGTGACACCAGAGCAGGAGGAAGGCCAGTTTGGGACCCCACCAACAGCTTGTGACCAGCCCAGGAGGTGTTTTGTGGGAGCTGCTGTGCAATCCCCTGGGCGATCAGTGCCCCCGGGGTGGGTGAGCAACGCAGAGAGGTTGCAGCGAGACCCTTCCCAGCGGGAGAAGGTGGAGGGTCTGCTTTCTGCCAGTGGGATAGGAACGTCCCCTCCCCTCCCAGGTACCAGCAGGCAGTGGTCCCCATGCCACCATGTCCCAGCACTTCATCAGCCTCCAACCCTGATGCCAACAGAGGGTTTGATCCCCACTTATGGCCAGACAAGGCTTTCCAAGTGCTGATTTGTGTCTGGAGGGAACTGTGTCTCTCCCGGTGCCACGAAATGCTCGCCTGGACCCCGGAGCCCCAGGAAGGGCCAGCCCGGGGAGGGGAGCACGGGAGAGGGTGAAGGGGACGGAGAGGGTTGTTCTAACTGTGGCACGAGCTGTCCTTTTTTGTATACAACGGTTGTAAATAAACTGCCTTGGCATTTCTTTTGTTTTCTCATGATCTGTGCAGTGTCCTGTGTGTGGGTTTTTTTCTGAGGTGGGGGACATCCCAGTGTCGTTTGCACTGGGAAAGGGAAAGGGGCTGGCAAAGGAAATTAAGGTGTGCATCAGGGGGACCTGGTTTACCCCAAAGCCCCGAACAGCCCCAGCTTGGTGGGACTGCAGCAGATTTGGGCTCCTTTGGTCCTCCACTGGCAACCCCTTGCACCCTGCCACGCACCCCGGGCTCACCCCGCGCACCCTTGGGGTACGCAGAGGTGATGCTCTCCCACCCCAGAGCAGGGAGCTGGAGCCAAATTTCAGCCAGGTGCTGGGAGATGGCCGGAATGGGGAGGAAGCACAGAGCTGGACACGTGCTAAGGTCTACACTGAGGCCAGATGGTCCATGCACGGAGTAGACAAAACCAAAGCATCACGTTCTCTGTGCCAGGAGAGGAGCTGGGGGGGATCTTCTTCTCCAGCAATATGGAGAAGTGGGTAACAATCCCTCTCCCATCTTTGCTCACCCTGAGAGACGTGATGGCACCAAAATTTAGGACCAGACGCTGGACACGTGCTAAGGTCTACACTGAGGCCAGATGGTCCATGCACGGAGTAGACAAAACCAAAGCATCACGTTCTCTGTGCCAGGAGAGGAGCTGGGGGGGATCTTCTTCTCCAGCAATATGGAGAAGTGGGTAACAATCCCTCTCCCATCTTTGCTCACCCTGAGAGACGTGATGGCACCAAAATTTAGGACCAGACTC